AACATCTACTGACTTAAGCAAAAGCTTGATCCTATGGTCTCCCCAGAAAGGAAACAGGTCTTCCAATGGGCCTTTACAACCACGGTGGGCTGCAGGCTACTGTGGCAGCATAGTGAAAGGGGTTCTGGAAATGAACCTCATTAGTTCCCACTCACTGAGCCCCTACCACCAATCACATAGGGTGGATGAGTGCTGGGTAGGAGTCAAGGATTGGCTTCATTGTCTAAAACAATGGGGTGGGGGGCATAGATCGCCATGAATATTTTATGAAACTATCCTTGGGACCTCAACAGAGCAGGGTGACTTACTACCCCCAAGTGATTTAAGTTACATGTGACAGGACCAGGCTGAAAAGGCATGACACGTTCCAGGCCCAGGCAATACTTTGCTTGTCATGGTGGTGAGCAGCTGGGAAGACATCTGTACATAACCCTCCTTCTCACCTCCACATGTGAAACAGAGACTTCAGGCATGGCCCCCATGGAAGAGGCCATACAAGAAGCACAGAGGAAAAAAAGCCCAGAGGGAAAATAGCTGAGGCAGGACATCTGGGTTGCAAAGGTCTGTGGTATATAGAACCCCAATGGTGCCACCTTATTTTTCTCTGCTTAGGAAAAAAAGAAAACCATTTTCCCTGTCATCTGAGTCAGAAAACAGCTGTGTCTTCCAAGGCACTGGTCTCCCAGTCCCACTGCTTGTCCAGGCTGAACTCTGACATTCCTGTCCCTGATCTTGGGGTTCCCACTGTCTCCAGAGGGATCTGGGTTCCCATCAGCAAAGCCATCAGCTGCCAGTTGCCGGGGCAGCAGCCCGGGGTGGCAGAGGGGATGCTGGGCAGGGGCTCAGGCTGGGCCCTTTGCAAAGATTCACTATGGAAAACAGCCTCTCTGCATCAGCTCAAAGACTGAGCTGGTACACCCTGTACCATCATATTTCTAGAAATATCCTCTCTGGAGGACTCTCCCATTCTCCTTTCAAATTGAGAAACTAAGAATGTAGAAAACAAAATAAAAACACCTCACCTGTAACTCAGAAATATGACAAAAGGGGATGAGGAGACATGGGTTGAGAAAAGGTCGTATATTCAAGATAACGCCCAATGAGAGCTTGCAGAAGGGCTCCACGAGATGAAGTGTTGCTTTGATGACTCAGCGGGTTCTTTGGAGCATTGTAAGGACCAAGAGTGAAGGAATAAGAATAAGGGGTGGGTCAGATATAGGATTTTTGGGCAGTTCTAGGCTGAGGGAAACAGGACTCTGCAACCTCAGCGTAACCCCAGGAGACAGAACTGCCCAGAGGTTACAATGTCGATATCTACATGGAGAAGAGTTCAGGTACCCAAGCTGTAACAACCTGTGGGATTCCGCAGAGCCAATGATCTATGTGAGAACACTAGCAAGACTGTGGACAGAGGGAGGGTGAGACAAAGGCCTGTATCTTGAAGCATGTAATGAAATAATATTACCATACATTATAAAGATATTTATGCATTAAAGAAGGTTACTGTGAAATTTAATTTTAATGGTCTGATAATTAAGCAAAAAAAATCCACAATAATTATCATATCTTAATTTTATAGCATATTTGCTGATGGCAATGTTATTTTTTTTTTTAAGAAAGATGATGTTAATTCCTCACAGGGAGCATCTTCTCTTGTCTTTGGGTATCCCTTAAAGCCTGAGCTACTGCGTCATGCCACAGGTCAGGGGACAAGAGATCCAATCAGTGCCCTGACACTCTAGGCAAGATATGACCCACGGGGAAAAGCCCACCCAGTGAACTGCTACATGAACTAAAGAGCCCCGGCATGAAGAGGCAGAAGCTTGTGAGCAACAAGATGGGGTATTTGGCCGAGAAGCATTTACTGGGGTTTGAACATGAAATGTCTCCCATAGGCTCATGTGTTTGAACGCGTGGTCCCTCTCTGTTGTAGAAGGTTACGGAACTGTCAAGTGGTTAAAGCCTCACTGGAACAAGTGGGTCATTGTGGGAGGGCCTTGAGTAAGCCTCACTTCCTGTCTGCTTCCTGCTTCCTGATCATTAAGCATACACGACCAGTTGTCTCATGCTCTGCCACCCTGCTTTCCCCGTCATGATGAACTGTATACCTTCAAACTGCAAGCCAAAAGAAGCCCTTCCTCCCTTAAGTAGTTTCTCACCAGGCATTTGGTTCCCATAACAAGAGAGTGAGGAATGCAGCATCTAAGCAAAGGTGCAGCTGGGTTTCCATTAGTCTCTCATGGGAAAAGGAGGGAAGAGAAAAATGATTAAAAGACAGAACTCCTCCTGGGAGCACATAGAGGGAACCCTGGCTAACTGGACATGCCACCATCCTCTGTTTATTCTCCCAAGGTCAGTGTGGGTCATAATTTATTCTCTTGCCATTCCTGGAGTGGTGCACGGCTTACCACACAGTTTCTTCTCAAAGTATCAATATTTGTTGAATGACTATTTTGTGAATGAATAAAACAAGGTATGAGCTAACACTCGGAAATGAGAAGTTAAGCAAAAAGCTTCATGAAGAAGAAGAAGCCTGAAGCATAAAACCAAACGGCAATTATCTACGACTTGGGTCATTAATATCACATAGTCCGTGTTGCCAAGAACGATTCAAGTCTTCGCCACAGGATATGCTTAGCAATCTATAATTTCTTAAAATTGTTTTATACTGGTGTCACAAAAAAGACCAGATTTATCTTCTCTCGGATCAGGGGCTACATGAAAACATGCAGACCAAGAGACAGGACAGATGGCAGACGTTTCACCACGTAATTAAGGGGGAATAGCAGTAGGCAGCACCCAAGCTTTTAGAAATGTTCATCCTCCTCCCTGGAAGCTGAAGAAATGGCATTTGCTCAGCCTCTGGCATAGGCCAGAAGAGTGCAGAGGCCCCAGCACATTCCCAGATCCAGGTGGCAAGTCCCATCCAAGGCAGGACAAGGTGATCCTGGGAGCGCTTCAGGCTCCTCTCACAGGGAAGGTCAGCAATGGCCCCAAGTCCTGGGTCTCCAGCCTCCAAAGCATAACCCAAACTGCCCTGCAAGGGGGCTTCCGGGCCTAACGTACATTAAAACATGCCATTAACAATCACATTAAATATGGATGGGCTGGAAGCCACTGCACAGTGAGGAATTAGCATAGAAATGAAGACGGTGGCATATTTACACAATGAAATATTAATAGCAGTCAAAATGAAAGGACTGGATTTATATTTAGCTGCAAAGTGCAATGCCTATTTTAAGTTTCCAAGGGACATATATGATAGGCAAACACTTAGAGAACTTTTAAGAATTCTCAAAATGATTCTTGGCTGTGAATGCACATACACACAGTAAGAGCAGGGAAGTGTAGGCATGAATGGTACTACCACTTTCAAGCAGTCACCCTGGGGAGGGAGAGCAGAGAAGGGTGGGGGCGCCGCTCAACTATTCTTTCCGTGGCTTCAAGTGAGCAGCACTTAAGTCTAGTTCAGCACCATCCACCCCCTCTGGCCTCAGAGAGTCCATTATCTCCAGTGATTTGCAAGGTAGCACCAGACAGCTGCCCCAAGCCCAGACTCCATTGCGTGGTTATTTTTAACCATGGCTGGACACTGGTTTCCATGTCTTCTTTTGATGTACCATTGACAAACTCTAATCTCAAGTGAATAAATACTGAGGTTCAGAGGATGCAGGCGTCGGCGGCGTAACCCAAACCCCCACCGAAAATCACCTTCCTCCCTTTCCGGGTCAAGCCCTGTCCTGACCTCTCCAGAGGAAACCCACATTGAGACTCTCCTGACCGGAGACTGCCTTTGTTCATTCTAGGGCTTCACAGAAATGGTGCCATCGCACAAGAGGCTCCGTAGATAAGGCGGCTTTCGTGTCCCATCAAACTCTTGGGCATTTTGTGATTTGGCTGCAGGGTGCACCACACTCCCCTTGTAGAAGATACTATCAATTTTACCCACTGAGCCGTCCTTCCAGGCCCTTGACTTACTTGGTTAGCTAGTGTTTTGCATATGTATGCATGTGGCGAGTGTGCATGCATGTTCACATGTGTGTGGGTGCACACACGTGGGGGGGTGGCTCAAAGTTGATGTCTGGTGCTTTCTTCAATCAGTCTGCATCTGACACATTGAGGCCAAGTCTCTTGCTGAACCTGGAGTTTATCTTATCAGCTGGTGGGCTAGGTAGCTCAGCAGGATTGTGGGGGTCGGGATGGGGAGGGTTCCCTATCTCTACTTCCTACATACTGGAATTACAGGTGGGCTGTTAAACAGATCATGGACTAAACTTCGGAAACTGTAAGCCAGGCCCAATTAAAGGTCCCTTTATAAGAGTTACGGTGGTCATAGTGTCTCTTCACGGCAATAGAAGCCCTAACCAAGACACATGGCAAAGACATCATCTGCTGAGCCATCTCCTCTGCCCTACACCCTGAATTTTATTTTAGTTTTTAATAACTAATGTTGGCACAACAGGGCAAGTGTGTGTTTGGTGTTATAAGGAAGTGTGACTTTGTCCCCAGTGGCTACAGATTCTCGACCATGCCAGCATAAGAGCTGCAGGAGATTTGCATCCTCCCCAGAGCTCCCTTGATGTCTTTTTCATCTCCCTGTTCTGATGAATGCACAGCAGCTTCTCCCTATGATTTCTGCATTTGCATTTCCCCGCTGACTAATAATACCAATGTCAAGCATTTGGGGGGGGGGAGTTTACTCTTTAAAGTAAGACAGAGACAGGGATATGCAAACAGATCTAGAACAAACATGGCAGGGGGGAGTTGAGATCTAAGCCACAGGCCTGCTGATTTGTTGTTGTTGAACCTGGGGCCTCATGCATCTTGCTACTAAAGAAATAAAAATACCATTCCATCTAGACACTGGACTAGGACGGCATGGCTTCTTGGTATGGGGAGAGGCCCAGAAGAGAGTAAGGAGGAGGCTCTGCATCTTCCCAGCATTGCCAAGCTCTGCCCACCTGGGTCCTGGCCTTCCTCTGCCCCTGCAGGTCACTTACCGCTGGCACTCGCTGGCATGCAAGATGAGCTCAGAGTTGTTCCTGGCACAGACTGTCAGCTCGTGCTCTGTGGAGTTGAAGACGTCGAGGAGCAGGTGGCACTGTCGGGTGCTGCGTGGAAAGACGGAGGGGGGTTCAGAACTCTCCAAAGGCAAAGAGAAGCAACTTAGCCCCTTCTTCCTCTCCAGGGTCTTCCCACTACCTGACGATGTGCAGGTGATGATGATTGGTTTACAATAATGCCAAGGCCTCTGGGCATGTGCTTGGAACTTTGTCAAACCCTCTAGGAACCAAAGGACCTTGGAAAGTAGCTCAGTCCTCCAAGCCTCAGCAAGTGGCGAGCAGCTGGCTCTTAAGACCATCTATATACATGGTATACAGTGTCACTAAATAAAGGTGATGTCCAAATGAGGAAGTCTTTGGCTACCCAAGACTGAGCAAAGGGCTGGCTGTTGGATTGTGAAGAACTGGGCCCCCACGGGTTTGTGCTGACTTCTCTGTACGCTTCATTCTCCAGGACTCCAAATTATCCCTCCTTAGAGCTGGGGCAGATCATGTAAGCTAGTTAACGCACCCGGCACTTGAAGCGTCCCCTCCCTGTGCTTCCTGCAGGGTAGGAAGTAAAGTCCTCGATTCTAACGGCTCCTGGAGCAAGGGGTACTCCCAATGGCAGCATCCCAACCAAGGAGCCACAGGCTTCTCAGACCCCAAGTAACAGAGCCTAGAGGAGGAAGCTTCTAGCCTTCGGCCTTCCTGGCTTCCCTTCCTTCCTCCTTGGAATGAGAAGGAGGCCTTGAAGCTCAGCAACCATTCAGAGAAGAGGAACAAACCATTGTCTGTGGATGGCAGAGCTGGGGCCAGGACCTGGAAAACCAGGCACCTCCTACAGCAGCGGTGCCCCGCCCCCACTGCCTCCTCCCTATAGACTTATTAGCCACATGGCTGAAATACCTTAAAAGTACCAACAGCCCATGCTTCATTTGTGTTCATCACTACAGTTAAGTTCCCATTACAGTTGAATGTTTGCCTAAAACTAACACAACTTCCCAAATACCGGGCGCCACGGTAAGCACATGACAGGAAATCGATACCTGTTGGCTGATCTAAAAGGGACAGCCACAGCCACTGCAAGAGCAGAGTAAGAGGGCAGCTGGGCTGGCCTTGGGGAAACAGGAGGAACCGTTTGTCTTGGAAGGGAGGGAGAGATACAGACAAAGAGCTGCTCTCAGGGTCATCTTTAGCTCTGTGTAGAACCAAAACATGACCTTCTAGGGGAAGACATCTAACTTCACTGGTGTGTCCCCAAGCAGGAGGCAGGGCGCTGTTGGTTATTTGGAAAGCCGAGCCAAAGGAAAAGAGAGGGCTATAGGATTTTTGCCTTTGTGTCCTGACATTTCTGGGGGAGCAGTACAGGGGAGGGGAGGCTGGGGAGAGGACCACCAGGTGGTGGTGGAGTCTCCAGACTCAGAGCTCAAGTTGGTTTGCCTTCACAGTTGGTAGGCTCCTTGAGAGAAGGAAACATAGACACACATCCAGGGTTCATACACACATAAAAGCAGACACTGCCCAGAGGCCAGGGGGGTCACAAAGCAATCTTTCCTAGCACATCGGGCTTCTCAAGGGAGGGAGGCGGAGGCACAGTGTCACCATCTTTGGTACACACAGTGCCAACGTGGTGTCAGAGGCCTTCAGAGGATATCCTTATGTTGGCTGATGCTGGGGCTTGGGATCAAGGGTGTCTTCCCCAGGGGCACTGGCATTTGGAGCATGCTCAGTTCTGACAGCTGCCTAGAAGCAGTCTCTTCCCTTAGATCTTAGGCAAAGGAGACTCCAGGAATGACGACCCGGCCTCCCTTTGTCATAACTTCATGAAATCTTTAATCATAGTGAAATCTTTCAGCAGAGACAGAAACTCATAAAACATTCATGGGGAAGGGGGAGAAGGCCATTTTTTAAAGCCCAGAAGGCTGTTTTCACTTGCAGAGCACAGTACCTAGGAAGCTGCATGGGAACGTGGGGGAGATAGACTCTGCGTCACTGCACTCGCTATTCTGAGTCACTGGCTGTGAGGGGCCTTCTGTTAACACGATGATACATTGGTGGATCTTTGTTTTCTATCTGTTACTCACAAATTAACTCCCGTCCCAGACTGTGGTAGCATTTTGTGCCCACCGTTAATATCATTTGCTCGTGTGTCTTTCCACGTCTCTGTGGCTGATTTTCTTTATGAGCCGTGGGAACACACAATTTACTTTTCATTCTTGTGCAATTCTTGGGTTTTGTTTGCTTTTCTGGATTCACCTTTCTGAAGAGGAGGGAAGCCTAAGAGATTTCTCCTGGAGAATGGAAGTCAGAGCGAGCTTCTGAGGGCAAAGAAACTTGCACCGGAAGTGGTAGATGTAGGTCTATGGCCAAGGTGGGCAGATGGGGAAGAGAAAGTTCAGCTGCCAGAGGCCACATGTTCCCCAAATTATCAATCGATTTTTCTCAGATGTGTGAGTCTCCCCTGCATGTCAGCTACTATTGCATGCACACAGTTGAGAGAGGGAGGTGAGGAAGAAAGACAGGGTCTCAGCTTTCTTGAAAATTGAATTGGGAAGGGAGAACAGGAAGAGGGGGTTAAAAAATTAAAGCAATCTTTCCCATGAAGTTAAAAGCAAGAGATTCAAATAGGTCGCAGGGTAAAGCCTCATGTTATTAGTGACATTTCTATGCATTAGCTGAAGATAATTACAAAGAAAAATATTTAAGAATATAGAGTTAGCCAGGCAGTGGTGGCACATGCCTTTAATCCCAGCACTCGGGAGGCAGAGGCAGGTGGATCTCTGTGAGTTCGAGGCCAGCCTGGTCTACAGAGCGAGATCCAGGACAGGCACCAAAACTACACAGAGAAACCCTGTCTCGAAAAACCAAAAAAAAAAAAAAAAAGAATATAGATTTATAAATGCAATGCAGCCCAGAAAGCATCTATGAATAAATGTAATAATAAATGTATGTAAGACATTTATGTAAACTATTTTAAGTTTTTACAGAAAATTTAGTAAAGCAGTCAAATGAATAAAAAGATTTTATGCTTGAGGATTAAAAGATCATATTTTAAAAGAAGTCACGATTCTCTAAATCTAAATGAATTCAATGAACCTTAACAAAAAGAGGGACAATGAAGTTTTAGTTTTAGTAAATTCTGATGTGCTAGTCTAAATTATATATGTTTAAAAAAGTGTCAAGAACACACACACAAAAAAAACAATGACAAAGAGAATGTTGGAAAGATCAAGCCTGCTAGACATCAAGAAATCTTCCAAAGCATAAATGATGGAAGACAGCCCACAGCATGTCCCAGAGCTGGGAACTGGAGGTCTGACTAAGAGGCGATGCTCCCTAGGAGAAAGATTCCAGAAAAGCCCTGGGACGCATGGTTATATGCACAGAAAACCATATCCCTACCTCACACCATGAGCTGAAAAGTCTACAAAATAGCTCTATGTGACAATTTCCTCAGAATTCAAACATTTATTCAGATACCCTTTCTGCAGGGAGGATAGAAGCTGATCCAACTTATAAGGCTCAGGAAACTCAGAATGTTACAGACTCCCAAGCCTGTAACATTCTCCCCAAGATTGTAGTCAGTAAACAAATCCTGAGAGGCAAGGCTCTCCAGTAGGCAAGCTGTGCAAGAAGCCCTAGGGACACAGCTTCCATGAGCTGCCACCCCTGCTGGGGTAGGATTTTGGGTGAACAGCTGGTCTTACATCGTTGCTGGTGTTCCTGAAAGTAATCCCACTCACTAAGCTAGACTTGAGTGGAACATTTCATTGTTCTGTCATGAGTGACTTGTCTGCGGTGAGTAGATGTTTGCAACTGTCCAGAAAGTCATGCAACACGATCTCAAATTTATTTAAAAATTAAAATTTTTAAAACAAGTGAATAGCTTGTGAGAAGTGAGAGATTTCACAAAGGAGTTATGGCATGTAAAATATAAAAGAAAGACAGTGTGTTTGGCCCTGTTAAAGTTAGGGACTTTGATATAAATGGAAACCATTAAAAAGCTAAGACAAGCTCCTTGTGGAAAGGGATTTGCAGTATATTAAACTGACAACAAATCAGAATTCTGATTTCATTGAGAATTCCCATAAATCAATAAGAAATGACTCAGTATGAAATCAAGCAAAGGGTGGGAAGTGTCAGTCCACCCTGGAAAATCTCCAATGGGCAGTAAACAGACACTCTATCAAGCTAGCAGCCAGTGCAAGAAATCAAACCCTGAGACACTGTTTCCCACTCAACTTAATGGAAACACTTAAAAAGTGGTCCAGAACCAAGAGTTGGCCAAGATGTACATCAGCAAAAAGTAGGGTGTAAATAAATTAAATTGGTACAACTTCTAAGGAAGGAAGGAGGGATGGAGGGAGGGGGAAGGAAGGAAGGAAGGAAGGAAGGAAGGAAGGAAGGAAGGAAGGAAGGAAGGAAGGAGGAAGGTGGGGGTTACCTCCTTGAGCAATGTATAAACACACTTAGACCTAACTATTCCATGGCAATGTGTATTAACTCAGACAGCTCTCACAAAGACACGCTCAAAAGCATTAACTGCAATGTGGTTAATAGAAGCCAAAGGCTCCTTTTAACTAGGTGAAAAGCAACAGGAAAGAGGATGGAACAGGATGGCTGGGGCAGGGAGTGGGGAGTGATAGGGGATGAGGGGGTCGTCAAACCCTGTGCAGAGTCAGAAATGAGTTTGCAAGAACAGCCTGCTTTGTTCTGTTGTGGTCGTGGTTTGAATGAGGATGGCTCCCATAGGCTCAAATATTTAAATGTTTGGTCCCCAGGGGTTGGTAGGACTTTAGGAAGGATTAGGAGGCGTGGCCTCGTTAGAGGAGGTGTGTCACAGAGGGCGGGCTTTGAGGTTTCAAAAGCCTGCACCATTCCCATCTAGCTCGTGCTTGTGGATCAAGATGTGAGCTCTCAGCTACTGCTCGAGCGCCATGCTGCCTGCTGCCATGCGCCCCATCATGGTAATCGCAGACACTAACCCTCTGGAACTGTAAGCCCCAAATAAATCCTTCTAAAAGTTGCCTTGGTCAAGATGTCTCATTACAGCAATGGGAAAGTGA